GGGGAGAGGAGAGTAGAGAAGGAGAGGTGAAAAGAGGAGAGACGGGGCAAAAAGAGGAAGGAAATAGATATGAGGAGAGAAGAGAAGGAGAGATGAGGAAACGAGAGAAGGAAAGGTGAAGTGAGGAAAGAGGGAGAGGTGAGATGAGAGATGTGAAAGAGAAGAGCTAGAGAGTTGAGACGAGAAGAAAAGGAACTGAAAGCAGCAAAGGAACTTAACATAAACCAGATGTTTTAATAGTTACACAATATGTTTACGATTTGAAACATATTTCCTAGGATTAATTTGCCTTGGATATTCAGGATGAAAGTGGGAACATCAGCAAATTTTCTCTTCTCCATTGAATTTTACGCAATGTAAAGGATAAATTTATTTGGTCAAAACATAACCAGCAATGACACTGCTTAAAATAAATGAGCAATGAAACTTATAGAATTGCTACTATTATTTACAGACGAATTACCTAAAACGAGGAGATTAAATGACTACTAAGACGAAGATCTTCAGCTGATGAATTTTCTATTAATAATTGCTTGATGATAAAAACATTCTTGCCACCTTTAGCAGCGACCAGCTACTGCTGTTGGGTCTCACAACAGAAGATCCTGGCCCACTTATCCTGTGGGTGACCTAAGCTAGGTGGTTAGGGGGAATTGTGGTTGCTTTTTATCTCCATGGAGCTAAGAGGAGTGATCAAGGTATATTAGCTTCTTGAGAATGTGTGTGCTCTGACTCATCCACTCCCCTTACAAGGGGATCATGGCCATTATATTCGTATGTATGTCTCCAGCAAACCCCCTTGTAAGGGGTCATGAACTAGCCAAAGAACACTCATTCACCATCAGCCAAACATACTTCAATCACTCCTCTTAGCTCTTTGGGGATAAAGGCTTGCCACAATTCCTCCCATCATCTTGCTTGGTTGGATCATCCACAGTGTAAGGGGGCGGGGATCTTCTGCCAAAAGGCCCAACAGCTGAAGATGGTTTACCCCCACTGATTCACAACATGGCAACCTCTCCCCATATCCACAAGTCCCACATCCACAAGGCAATATTTGTCTTTCTTACATTTTACGTGTCACAATTACTCCCCATTTGGGGGAAGACACAGACGGATTGATGCCAGGGAATTAAGGCTGGATGCACATTCTAACACCCCACCGTGGGCTCGAACAAGGGTTCATCACCTCCAGAAATCGAGCACTCCAGCATTGCAGCGGTCCCCTTATAATCAACAGCATCTGGCATTCCCCGGTGGACACCCTTCCAAGCACTGACCATACCCAAAGGGGTTTAACCTTGCTGATCAAGTAAAAAACGGTATACCCTCCATGGTATGGCAGTTACAAAATATCATCCCGTATACTTACCACATCATCAATATGATCATCAGGTCCTATTTTTCTCTCCAAGGTACGATTGAGGCCAGAGACAACCAACATGCGATAGCTTTCGTCTTCCATCAGTTTCCGTACTCGGTTCAGCTTCAACCAGCCTATTCCCTCACCCTCAATCACTTGTGTTAAGACCTAAGAAGTAAAATATACGATAATTTTAATATGTTAGTTTGCTATATTATGGGTCACTATTAATTCCCCTTTTGGGTTTGGTTAAAGACAGCCTGGAGCTGGGAAATTATGGCTAGAGACATTTCTTATTTCCCTATGGTGGGCTTAAACATGAGTTTGTCACTTTAAGTGTCGAGCCCTCAAATCATTGTGCTACTGTGGTCCTCACTGTGATTTTACTGTTCATGTCTGTTTGACCAGGCCACTTAAGAAACAACAATAACACTTAAACTCCCTGAGAGGTGGGAAAGCCAGGGATTATGTCTTCCTTAGGGACTCAGAGTTGCTTAGTCAGGTAGCTTAGAGCATCACAACAAGAGAAAATGAATGTCAATTATTTCAACTTATGAGATACAGTTCCCATCTAACAAAAGGCAGTGAGAAATATCACAAACTTACAAATAATCTAACTTTTATGGGACACTTATAGTCCCCATTAAGGAAGTGAACACAGACAGATTGGATCTGGGGAATTAGGGCTGGATGCACTTCCTAACACACTGCGGTGAGCTCAAGCACAGGTATGGCATTTCTCACGTCAAGCGCTCTAACCACTGCGCTACCGTGGACCCAACTAAAATATTATATAGTCACTCCTGAAATTTAATGGGGACCCCAGTGGGCTTGACCGCAAGTCTGTGACCTGCCAAGTCGATTGTTCTTACCTCAATGCTACCATGATTCCCCCAAAAAACAGTCATGACTTACATCTTTTAAAAAGGCTTGGTTTTCAGAGGCTGAGGTTGTTCTCTGTTCGAGCGTTGCAATCTTGCTCAGCTCAGCACGTCTCTGAGCAGATACGGAGTGTCGGATTAATGACGACTTTTCGACCAATCCTTTACGGCCTAAATGAGATTAAAGGAACATTAGGAAAAAGTTGTAGTACCACTTACATACTACTAAATATTAAATAAACCTTCAATGGAATTCAATAAACCAAACAAAGTAGGAGGAAATTTAAATTACTATGACAACATACACCTTCAAGGGAACATGATAAGTAAAACATAGTAAGAGAAAATTTAAATCACTCCTTAAATGGAACACAATAAGCAAAACAAAGTAAAATAAATAATAAGGAAATACAAATTACTATGGCAACATACACTTTTAAAGGTATACAGTAGGTAAAAACAAAGCAAGGGGACATTTAAGTCACTCCTTAAATGGAACAAAATAAGTAAAACAAAGTGAAATAAAATATAAATTACCATGACAACATACACCTTCAAGGAACAAAATATACTGAAATTCAAATTACTAAGAAAACATACACCTTTAACGGAACACAATAAGTAAAACAAAGTACAGTATGTGGAACTTTAAGTTACTATGACAACATAAACCATTTGAAACTGAGAATAAAACAAAATTAAATGAATATGCAGAGAAAAATAATAAATATGACAATGTGGCACAGCAGTATCAACTGGGGCTGGTAATATATAACCCAAGGTTCAATCCTTGGTTGGGGCTGGATTAGCTTTCACGATCTGATGCTATTACATATTAACCGAGGCAATCAACTGGGGGATTGGTATATTAACAGCCCCAAATGCTACCACTATGCAACAATGTGCAACAATGAAAGAAAATTAGAATAGTTGCTTTCAAAAATGCAAGGAGAAATGTACCAAAAAGCACGAATTATAAAATATTTTTGGTATGGAAATTAATTATAATCCTTGTTTTATGTGTCACTATTACTTCCCATCATGGGGGTGGACACATACAGTGTCGCTGGGGAAATAAGGCTGGATGCCCATCTTACTGCCCACGGCGGGCTGAATCATAGATCTGTCAATTCCCGAGTCGAGTGTTATAACCACTCGGCCACTGCGTCTTTTAGTATTGTAGAGATTGCAAGAAAAATATTGAGCAAAAATTCATATTTAAACAAAGATCACCCTTAATTTACAGCAGCGAGTGAGAGTGGGGAGCAGGTGGTCAGAGCTGGATTGGTGTTATTGCAGCTCAAATTGGTCTGTAAAAAGAGCTCTGCTACTTTCGTATTCCCGTTCTCACTTTGAATCTTATATTAATTAGACTAGGTTGAATTAGGTTAGTACAAGAGTAATTTTGTTTTTATACCCAATAGAAGTTAATATGAGATTTAAATTGAGAGAGGGAGTGCTGAAGTAGGCGGAGCTTCTTGCACGAATCAATAATTGAGCTGGGGGATGGGACAAAATAGCACCCATCCAGCTCTAGCCAGTCACATCCGTAAGAGTGCACAGTGTGTAAAAATCCGTGCACAAGTAGCAGTCGTAAATTCATGCTAAATGTGTAGTGTACGTTGATGGCTATTTCAAATAAGGATCGCTAAGAAATTTCTAAGTCAAAAAATGTGAAAAAATACTGTATGAAAATTATAGTGGAAGAATGCCAGTATTGCAATACTGAGTTGCATATTCCAGTGGAATAATACAAGTATTGCAATACTTAGTTGCAAGTTACAGTATAATATTGCAAGTATTGCCATACTGAATTGCAAATTATAGTAAAATGATGCAGTCTGGCAATATTCAACTGCAAATTACAGTGGAATAATGCTAGTACTGCAATGCTGAGTTGCAATATACAGTGGAGTAATGCCAGTATTGCAATGCAATACCGAGTTGCAACTTACAGAATGCCAGTATTGAAATACTGAGTTGCAAATTACAGTGGAATAATGCCAGTATTGCATTACTGAGTTGCAAAGTATAATGGAGTAATGTCAGTATTGCAAAACTGAGCTGTAAAATTTCAAATAATTTTATTTTTTCTATCTTAATATTTTCCTTTTTTTCAAGACGTTTCCCTTGCTGGAGGATTACAGTCTTTGACTTTTTCCAGCTGAGTTCTTTGCTTGGCTTGTAATAATAATAATAATAATAATAATAATAATAATAATAATAATAATAATAATAATAATAATAATAATAATAATAATAATAATAATAATAATAATAATGTAATAATAATAACAATAATAATAATAATAATAATATGTCCCATAAGGTGGGTTTGAACTTAAGTCTCTTGTCAAAGCAGATTAATCTTTAACTGGTCAAGCCATAAATGATCTAACTGGGGAGGAATTCATTTTAAGTGTTCCGCCTGCATGCTGTAAAAGTCGGCTAAATAGGGCAGAGCGAAGGGATTGGGAATCCCCTCCTTTGCATTTTCTTTCCAGAAAGAGTCCAGTTGTTTTGCTTTGACTCAGCCACTCCCTTATAAAGCATATTATGGCTCTTATATACAAACAAATATTTAATAAACAGTAAAATTCTTGATATAAGCAAATGCAATAAAACCCGTTGATTAAATGTGATAGGTTTTACGTCACGGACTCCCTTTTCTACTAAGGGCTAGGACAATGCCTTCTCATAAGACTATTTTTTAGTAAATGTGACCGTTTCTCTGAGAGAATTCCCTTTCTAGCCTCAGACACTGGCAGGCCATGAACCCTCGACTTGACAAATCAAAGTCGCTAGCATTACCGCTCGGCTACAGTGCCCGCAAAACCTGTTAATTAAATAAATATGCCCATTATAAACTGCTAAAGTAAGCCAACATAAACTTAAAGAATAAAAAATCAAGGTCACTGTATCAACCGACATACCCTAAAATGGCATAAGAGACATATCAATTAAATTATCTGTTTATTTATATACAAAGCCATACACATCCTTATAAGGGGGATAGCTTATTCAATATATAAACTTGACTCTTTGTCAGAGAAAAATACAAAGGAAGGAATTGCTAGTCCCATCACTCCACCCCAGTTATTCAACTTTTATAACAACACATGGGAATACGGAGGAAGTATTCTTGCCCCTTCAACGAAAGGAGAGATTAATAAGTAGAGTAATCTAATTGATTGAATAATCAACAGAAAATAAAAATTTGAAAATGTGCATGTGCATTTATCAATCAAACCATGAAAGCAGTGCGAAGTCATCTTCTTAAATAACTTATTTCCATATTTTTCATTGCTATTATCAACACAATATTAATGTAATTAATTTGCAAGACAAAATTATGTGATAAAATTGTCAACAGCAAAAACTAAGCATGCTCCAGTCTCACTATATGCAAATATTGTATGTATCTTTGAGTATTTTATATGATTGAAGATACAGATTTTGTTATCATTTATTAAATACGATTAGATTAGTCATTTTTATTTTGCATAATCTCTTGATATATGAAATTCTCCCACATAATAATAATAATAATAATAATAATAATAATAATAATAATAATAATAATAATAATAATAATAATAATAATAATAATAATAATAATAATAATAATAATTTAATAATAATGATGATAATAATCTCCACAATCATCATCAAAGGAAAATTACTGTCACCAATAATAAAAAAATAATAATAATGATAATAATAATAATAATAATAATAATAATAATAATAATAATAATAATAATAATAATAATAATAATAATAATAATAATAATAATAATAATAATAAGATCTAAGGAGAATTTTTGGAATAGACATCATGAAAGTAATGCAGAGGTATATTAAAACGCAGCAGAGAGCTGGCTATTCATTACACATCTTTTATAATCCCTTCACATCTGACAGGTCATTACACTCTCCATCTCTGTTTCTCTTTACAGCCTGATAAAGGCTGTTTTATTTTATCATTTTTGGCCCGTCCTGGCGTCATAATCATCTTTAAAAAAAAAAAAAAACATTTTTTTTTTTTTAGGTGTTCCTACTTCGCAGAAATTCACCTATCACGGCCAGTCCCGGAACCGAACCCCCGCGATAAACGAGGGGTTACTATATATATATATATGTATATATATATATATATATATATATATATATATATATATATATATATATATATATATATATATATATATATATATATATATATATATATATATATATATATATATATATATATATATATATATATATATATATATATATATTATTTTATCACAGCTCATACTTATTATATTTTATCATATGCTATATTATAGTATTACTGTATGAACTAAAAACTTATATAGCTAATATCAAACAATACATATCATTGAAAATTCTTGTTCAGCAATATCGTTCGATTAGAGTTAATCGTATATAACAGTGCTTGCTTGGATCATATATATTAGCCGTTAATTTAACTAAGTACAAACTATGAATTTACAAACAAATAACTAATAATATTTTAGCTATAAGTTTATATAATCATTATTTGACAAAAATGATGATGCAACTTTCCATAATCTTTAAAGATATTATTAAATAATTCTTCAGATTGTACAGTAATGATATTTTTATATACAGACTAAGAACTTTGACTTTACAAACACACATAATTAATATTTACACTATAACATTAAATAACAAAATAAATAAATATATATACTGTACAGCATAGTATATATATATATATATATATATATATATATATATATATATATATATATATATATATATATATATATATATATATATATATATATATATATATATATATATATATATATATATATATATATATATATATATATATATATATATATATATATATATATATATATATATATATATATATATATATATATATATATATATATATATATATATATATATATATATATATATATATATTAGGGTTTTATTTGTCACTAACAGTTCCCATATCTGGGTGGACACAAAATGGATTAAACCTGCAGATGCCAATCTTATCGCTCTCCCGTAGGCTCAAACGTGGGTCTGTCACCTCCCAAGTAGAGCATTCTACATTTACATTATTGCAGCCTGCACTATGAAACTATATATTATATAAATACAAGTGAGGGAACTTAACCATCACTTCAGATAGTTTTAAAAATCGTTTGCATTATAGTGATAAACATTTAACAAACAAATCTGTCCTTTAGACACAAAACAAAGATGAGATAAAGTACCAATTAGACATTGATGTCATATAAACCCAGTGGCACTTTTTATCCATAACAAATAAAGAATGTTACAATAAAAAGAAACTCTTAAATATATAATTACACACACACATACACACACAAACAAACCCTAAATTCATTCATATATTTAGTAACATCTAGCCTATTCAGGTATATAGACATTCACTGGCATTATATACAAAACTGATAAAATCCATCTCCCTATTTTCTTTCATATTTACATGACTGATCAAATATACCTTCCTAGTTTTTCTTTCATATATATAAGATTGATAAAATACAACTTCCTAACTTTTCTTTCCTGTAAACAAGATTGATAAAACCCATTTTCCTAGTTTCTCTTTCATATAAATAAGATAGATAAAATGCATCACCCTAGTTTTTCTTTCAATAAATGCAAGACTGGTAAAATACATCATCCTAGTTTTTGTTTCACGTATATAAGATTAATATAATGTATCTTCCTAGCTTTTCTTTCAATAAATATAAGACTGATAAAACACATTATCCTGGAGTTTCTTTCATAAAAATATATATATATATATATATATATATATATATATATATATATATATATATATATATATATATATATATATATATATATATATATATATATATATATATATATATATATATATATATATATATATATATATATATATATATATATATATATATATATATATATATATATATATATATATATATATATATATATATATATATAAAAGACTGATAAAATACAATACATCTTCCTAGTTTTTCTTTCACATATAATAAACAAAATGTTTTATATCCTACCTGTGGGGAATGGTCCAAAGGGTTGGGATCTCGTTCTGGCAGTCGAAACCCCGAGGTTGGAAGGGCTCACGCTTCGACTTCCAGGTCCACGAGCACCTGTCGTACAATACGTCTATTTTTTCCCTTGCTCACACTTTTTTATTATTGCTGAGCAAAACTCCAAGAAAGGCATTCTCTTACTTTTTCCCAACATTTGATGTTTTCGTTTAAGAAAGATATTCATTTGAATATTCTTTTCGTACAGAGAAACATGGTGGCATCCTCCTCTTTGCATATTTTTTTTGTAAATAAATTTTTAAAATGAAAATATTCTCCCATGTAACTTGCCTCTGTCCTATTTCACAACCTCCCGTATACTTTATATCATAACTAGATTACTGTACTGTATTGAAACTTTACCTAATACATATCATATTCGAAGTAAAAAGTCTGAAACTTTACCTAATATGTAATAAATTCTAAGTAAAAACAGTCTGAAAATTAATCTAATATATAATACATTCTAAGTATAAACAGTCTGAAACTTTACCGAATATATACTAAATTTTAATTAAAAACAGTCTGAAACTTTAACTACTATGTAATGAATTCTAAGAAAAACAGTCTGAAACTTTACCTAATACGCAATAAATTCCAAGTAAAAACAGTCTGAAACTTTACCTAATGCATAATAAATTCTAAGTAAAAACAGTACGATACTTGTCATAACGTATTCTTCAAGACAAAAATATTGTTAATATTTCCCCTAAAAGCAATTATGTTAAAAAACTGCACTATCTAAAACCACGTAAGAAGCAGGACTCTTGTTCAATTACATTTTCCAATATCTGTATGTCTAAATTAATGACAAAGTAAATTATGTTCATACTTCTCAACATAATGATCAATGCCATAAAATCTATATTCAAAGCCTTTATCCTTTGAAAATTTCCACCAAGTGAAATACTGTATATAAGAAATTCCTTAGCATATTTCTTTCTTCTTTAATGATTATTACCAAGAAAACTATATCCAAATTCTTTCTCTTTTGTATATGCCATCATGAAAATTGTATCAAAATGCCTTTGTATTTTCCCTTCTCATTTTATGATTATTACCGAGAAAACTATATGCACTTCTTTCTCATATGAAAGTTCTATCAAGAGAAATTTATTAATAATTCTTAAGTATTTTCCCTTCTCAATTAATTATTATTACCAAGAAAACTATATTCAAACATTAACAATTCTTTCTCCTTTGAAAATGTTATCTAGAAAACTATATTTAAATATCAGCATTTTTACTGAAAAAACTATCTTTCTCATTTTGTATTCTTTTCCTTATCACGAAATTACCTATATTCACATCTCTTCTCATTTGATATTACTAAATATTACTAAACATCATTGAAGAAAGTAGTCTAAAATCCATAAATGAAATAACAAACACATGAAGTACTTAGTAATTTCATGACCTCATTAGGTCACCTCAAAATACAATAAATTCCATGACCTCATCTGGTCACCTTAAAGTATAATAAATGTTAAGGTGAGTTGTTGAGGTCAAGAAATAAATAAGTTTTTTATGCATTTTGTTTTCTTTAATGGTCCTTTTCCTAAAATATTAAAACTGTCTGGCATCAGTTCAGTGTTACTACTAAGGAAAGTTTATTATAAAAATCAATATAATATTCAGTAGTTCATCCTCAAACAGAATATATTTTAATTCAATACAAGATTAATGTCCACATTACTAAAACGCAA